CCCTGGAGGGTCTCCATCAAGCCATATCCGTGGCTGACGAAGAGTGCGTTCGACGAGTTCCTGTGAGGGGTAAGTTTCAAGCAATTGATTCCCACACCAAACTCTTGATTCGGCTCAGAAATGTTCGTAGACGCCAGTTTCAGCGGACTGGGGATCTGCAGCGTAAATACGAAATGGTCGATCTGAATCGGCAGATCGCTTCCAGAATGGTCTCAATCCGGAACGAGAGTTTCGGGCGGCTCGTTCAGAACCTGGACGACCGTTCCAGACCATTCTGGAAGGTTGCCAAGGTGCTGAAGTCTCACCCCAAGCCCATTCCACCACTTAGAGTCAATGACGAACGGCTTATCACCAACGAAGAGAAGGCCAATGCAATTGGGGAGCACATTGCCCAATCGCATTTGCTTGGCTCTACAATCCCAAGTCCACTCGAGAACCAGGTTGTGCAGTGCGTCCAGACGTTAGATGCCTCCCCTTGTGTCGTCCCTCCAGAAGAACGGATTACAGAGGAACAAATTTGCTCAGCGCTGAAACACAGTACGAACATGAAGGCTCCCGGGTTTGACGGAATATTCAACCTAGAGTTGAAAAATCTCAGCGCGAGGGTGCACTCGCTGCTGGCTGCCATCCTCAACAGATGCTTGGAGCTGCACTACTTTCCAAGCATCTGGAAGGTGGCAAAAATCATCCCGATCCGCAAACCTGGGAAAGACCCTTCACTAGCGTCAAGCTACAGACCGATTAGCCTGCTCTCAGCGCTGAGCAAGCTGTTCGAAAAATTGATCCTCAGCCGACTAAACAAGTTTGTGGAGGAACATGACATTCTTCTTCCGGAACAGTTCGGGTTCCGTAAGGGGCATTCCACCAATCATCAGCTAGTGCGGGTGATGAATAACATCCGGAGTAACAAAGCTGTATCCAAGTCCACAGCCATGGCCTTGTTAGACGTCGAAAAGGCGTTTGACAATGTCTGGCACGACGGACTTATATACAAGCTTTGTAACTCCAACTTTCCACCATACCTTGTGAAAATCACCCGTAACTATCTCCAGCAAAGGTCGTTCAGGGTGTCGTTGAATAGTTCCCTTTCGGGACAATTTCCGATCCCAGCAGGTGTTCCGCAAGGGAGTCTGCTGGGACCACTGCTTTACAGCATCTACACGTCGGACATCCCTCCTCTAGGAGACGGTTGCGTGTTCTTTCTGTTTGCAGATGACACCGCGATAGCCGTCAAGGGTAGGATGCCTCGTGAAATTACGAACAAGCTCCAACGATGCCTTGACACCTTTACTGATTATGCCACCACGTGGAAAATCAAAATTAACGCCTCGAAAACCCAAGCGATCATGTTCCTTCACAGACAATCGCCAAAACTTAAACCGTCTCCCTCCTGTACCGTAATAATGGATGGTACAAGGGTCGAGTGGTCCACTGATGTTACTTATCTCGGGATGTTGTTCGATGAGAAGCTCCTGTTCCGCTCGCACATAGAGAAAACCCTAGTTAAGTGCTCCGCCTTGGTTAGGTGTTTGTATCCGCTCATTTGCCGCAGATCCCGCCTCTCAAGGCAAAACAAACTGGCTGTTTACAAACAGATCATAGCCCCCGCGATCTTCTATGCCGCCCCGGTGTGGGAATCGTGCGCTCAGACCCACAGGAACAAAATCCAGGTTGCACAGAATAGAGTGTTGAGGATGATCCTAGATCGTCCATTCGACACAAGAATAGCAGACCTCCATCAAGAGGCAGAAATTCCCAAAGTAGATTCCAAAATTGATGATATGACAACCAAATTTATCCAAAAATGTAATCTTTCTGAACATGCTTTAATAAGCAATTTTTACATAGTAGGTTAAGTGTATATAGTAGAGTAGGTTAGTTTTAAGCTGTAAATAGTAGTATTAAGCAGTTTCTCTTCAAATTCTAAAAACAAAACAAACCAATCCCACCAAGGTGGTCGACCGTGTACTAAGTCTAGGACTAATTCTGTAAAACAAATTTTGAATTTTGCCCATACCTAAAGATGAAGAAAGCAATTAAATCACTTAGTAAAAATTTATATGGTAATCGTCCAAGTTAAACTAAAATAAAGATCATTTAAACTTAAAAAAAAAACTGCCACTGCTCATTAACGCTTCGGACGGCGTGGCGCTTGGTCCTGCAGCAAGCAGGACCAAATCAGCGGTTTAAGGTGGATCACGGCGTGACCACAATGAGGAAAAGCAATGCCCCCCCTTCAACAACCGCTCCTACCCCCACCCCCCCACCATCAAACCTCTCCTATCCCTCTCCCCACCATCAAACCTCTCCTAAACCCCTCCCTCAAATACCTCTCCTAACACCCCCCCCCCCTCAAATACCTCTCAAATACCTCTCCAACAATAACCCGAAAGCGAGACAGACTTTGACGATCCCTTTTTTCCGGGAAATAAATTTTAAACAAACCACAATCATTAGTAAAACCAAGTTTTACCAAATTTGAACAAAAAATTGCATTGAAGACATGTTTGATGACATTCAGTTGGTGAATTACACACAACTGTCGGTAAAACATATCTGGTGCCTCTATATATGCAATTATATTAACATCCAAAGTCCATCCTATTTGACATATTCTGCACAAAAGAAACTTTCTGCTCCACCCCATTCATAAAAAACTGCGGGAAATCCTATCAGGTTCTGAACCGGAAAAAATATAAAAGAGCGCTGCTGTCATGCTTTTGCTCATTTTCGCTTCGGACGGCGTGGCACTTGGTCACGCAATAAGCAGGACCAAATCAGCGGCTAAAGGTGGATCACGGCGTGACCACAATAATGATGTAAACCCCCTCCCCCTTTCACAACAACCTCTCCCCCTCCCCCTTCACAACAATCTCTCCCCCTCCCCCTTTCACGACAATTTCTCCCCCTCCCCCCTTCACAACAATCTCTCCCCTCCCTCAACAACCTCTCCTAACCCCCCACTACCACTCATCAACAACCTTCCTAACCCCTCCCCCACTCATCAACAACCTTTCCTAACCCCCCCCCACCCCTCAACAACCTTTCCTAACCCCCCCCCCCCCCACCCCTCAAATACCGCTCCTAACAAATCAATATCTATGTGTCGGCCACATACTTAAAATATGTAGGGTAGGATGGTGCAAAACGCACCCTTTAAGCAAAATCGTCAATGGCTGGCGAATGGAAGCTAAAATCAAGAAGAAAGTAATGGCGTTTGGTTCATTACCATGTTTTCTACAAAGATCGAGTGATTTAGAACTACAAAAGGATGATTTTCCATGACTTTCAAGGTATTTTCTAAATTGCTTCCAAAATGATAGCGGGGCAAAACGCCTGATTCATGATGCAATATGCACCACAACATTGGGACAAGACGCACGACAACAATGACCAAAACGCACCACAACATATAAAATGCACCCCATGGTAAAATGCACCCCATGGTAAACAAACCATAACCCCTGCAAGTAGATAATGCAAAGGGATGCGGTATTTCAAATGATTATTTCTTTATGATACATCAGAAATAAGGTCTCAAAATCTCAATAGAATGTTAAACTGTGATTCATCAAGTAAAATATCTAAAAAATATACGAAACGTTAATTTGTTATTTTTTTTTTGTGATGTATGATGTTAAAAGCTTAATTTACAGTCGATGATTTTAACAACTGTGTCCTGTTTTGCACAAAATGTAATTTTTTTTAAGGAATCAGCAGGTCAATACATGATTTTATGATCAAGAATTATTTGTGAAACCTCCAGTTGAAAACAATCACAAACCGTTACCCGGAAAATGCATCTGAGGAAAAGTTATCGCTGTTTTTCTAAAAGTGGGCATTTTACCCCAGGGGTGCATTATGGGCTATTCTCCCTTACATATAAAAACCATACGTGACCACACATACTATTCATTTGCGTGTAAATTTCATGTGTACTTCTGAGTGGATTCTGTTTATCTGTGGTCAAATGAAAATCATGTGGAATTTCACATGGATATTTGTCAAGAAAAATGTGTAAATTGTTTTGAGTCAACCATAACCGAAACATTGAAATACTTGAAAATTTTAAGATAAAGTATAATAGTCAAAAATGCATGAAAAACATCAATTTTGTGTGGTTCTACGTCATACTGCGGTCGTGTCTAGGACACAACCCTTTACTTTTTTTTCCATTCGAAGCAGTTAGGCCACGGATACACTTGTGTATCAAACTATGAACATGAGCATTATTTGCATAATAAATTATGAGCACATCCTAAAAGTATTCCAGTGTCAAAATGCAGCTATGAGTTGTCATACAAGTGTATCTGCATTCACTTTACTCTGCTCGTCGTCGGCTGCTCTGTTGTTGTTGACCGATTCAGTCGGAGCTGCTGGACCTCCCAGGAAGTTTTGGAATTGGATTCCGTTTCCCTTCCGTCAACAGCATCGCTAGAATTATTCCTCCTACTTCGACTATCCTTCGGAATTTTTTTTTCATTCTGTGTTTGAAATCCCCAATCGATTTGCGGATCAATCTCTTTATTTCAATTTGTAAATAGTGGGGGTTTTGTGATACGCTATATTGAAACCAAAAAGCAATAATTTATGCTTTGTTCCCGTTTGGAAACGAATGGTTTTATAATTGCTTTTATAATTATAAAACACATTCATGGAGTATTTACAGAACAGTTTTATAAAGGAATAGAGCGCTGCATTAAATTCATCTTAAAAACTACTTTTTTACTTTATCGTCAGACTTTGAAAGGTTTTTAAAACAGCATAGAACTGACCGACTAATCAAGAATATTTTGCACTATTAAATGCTATATTTAAACTAATGATATTGCTTATTGCCGTTATAAAACCACAATAAATCAGAGTGAAAGCCAACTCCCTTTCTTGTTGTATTCATATTTTCTTCAATGTTCTCTAAATCTTTCGGTCGGTATCTCAAAAATATGTTATATAATTTTTACAACACTCGCTTTATGAACACTTTTTTTTATTTATTTCAGGATTGACGTCTGATTGGTCGTAACAGGACGGAATTGACACAGGTACAACATTACTCATAGCTATAGCCCACATCACTACCGTTGAACTATATGCAACAATCACTATTCACTCAAGTTTCGATGCCAAAATTAATCCGAAACGAGAGAATCAACGAATGCGAATAATTGCGTTTTCTCCGAAACATAATAATTGATGGCAGTAATTTATTACACTTCATTTTAGTCATTTGGCTTCCAAACGCCAACTTCAGGAGAATAAAGAATAACTCGAAATAAATAACCCAGCAGTTCATTTGCTTTGATTGGTAAACCTGCTTTCGTTTGAAACAACTTACAGAGAGGTACCGTTGTTTACGGGTGGAATTTTTTGCCGCTATTTTTTTCTGGATTTCTTGATACCTGATTTTTGGTAATACAGATATCATTTACTCAAAAATCAAAACTAAAACTCCATCCGCAATCAACGGTATCTCTCTGTATGCCGATACCTGATCTCATATTTTTCCCCACTACCCATGATTCCAAATTTGCTCAACTGATTCTTTTTTATGTTCACCGGATACCCTGTTGAGTCCTGTTGTTGGAATGTTTATCGTGCCATGTCCAAGTTTGTCAGTTGTTTTCCAGTCCGTAGACTACTAGGTTTAGGTAGCTCTCTTTTGCGGCCACTCGCCCGTTCAAAGTAGCCAAATTTTGAGCAAAAGGTCGTTTGTTGTTCCACACAAATGTAAATATTTCACCGTCAGTCATGCGTCTACTATCCCTTCCCAAGCCTGCTGAACACATCCGTCGTCGCCACAAGTTATGGAAATGAGCTGTTTTGGGATTAGCACGTACTCGCGTTTTGCATAAATTGACCCACTTTTCAGTCGATGGCCATAGAGTGAGGTGCTACTGCTGCTGCTTCAGCTACAACTGGTCAACTGGAGTGGTAATCGGATATACCTACCTTATGTATATATTTACATTTTGATGATCGGTCCGCCGGAGTTGTTGATGACTGGTGGCGGCATGTGGGCTTGCCGAAGGTGAGGAATTTCGGTAGCGCCGGGATTGTTTCATCGTTCCGTTCGCAGTGTAGGGGTTAAGGGGTTGAAAATTTAGAAATACTGTCTGTATCTAGAATAACAGGTGACAGGATTCGATGGTTTTGTTTTGTTGCTTTTAAAAGTTTACTTCTGTTGTGAAGAGTTTCGTAACCAGTGGCTTTCTTTAATACCACATTGCTATTGATGGCACTTGGTCATCTTCCCAGGATTTGAATCATTGCACACTACACTGGAAGTGAGAACCGAAAGTTGTTGTTCTTCGGTTTTTGCCAACTCAATTTGATTGAAAGAGTCGATTTCGTTCTATGATTTATTGGAAGTCGGTGGAAGTTGAATTTCAGCACAAATTTGAACGATTTTCCTCACAACGAACAATTAGCCAATGTGTGAAGTTTAGAAATCACAAAAGATCAAGTTGCACGAGTGAGATTATTTATGTGCCCACTCACAATAAATAATCTCAGTGCTCATTTTCTTTCTCCACCGCAAATACTTAACCTTGAATTTCCTGGAACCCAAAGCAATTAATCTACTCCATTCCTGGGGCCACATTGCGCATCTCGAAACGAAAGACTTTTTTTTACGAACGCTTGTATGAAAAAGTTTTTCGTTTCGAGATGCGCAATGTGGCCCCTGGTCCTAACCCATCATCGTGGGAATAGACTTGCACCTTCATCAAATGCCAGATAATTTTAACCTCTCACTCTTGCGATGCTTCGTTTCAACCCATCTCGAGTGAGCATCCATCCATAAAAATGAAACACATTTGGTGGGTAGATGTTGACTCGTTGTTCCATTCGCATTGCGGAATCCATTAACATGGTGGTGGTGATGGCGCTGCCCCATCCCTTCCTGGGTCGTTGACCGAAATTTGCGAAAACCAAACAGCACCATCGGCAGCAGCGAGCAACGTTTTGAGAAGCGGATTAGCGCAGAGCCCGCGGGGTACGTCTATAAAGGTAAACCCAGGTAAAAAAGTGAAATGAGCGAATGATTCAACGGTATGTGTGTTTACAATCCCGACCAATCCCCGCAGGGTAATTAGAGGTAGGTGTAAACCTGTTTGACCATTGCTGTTGTTGACCTACCTAGCTCGGCAGAGGTGAAGGGATGCTCGACAGGTTGGTTCCCAAAAACAAAAACGCGTGAGCGCTGTTCAGTTTTGAAACGAACCGATTAATCTTGAATAATAGCTCTTCTGTGACAGATAGATTACGGTTCTTCTCAAGTGTGTCTTGCGTGAAACATGATGGGGAGACTCATTTTAGGTATTGAACTCTGCTATCGACTTGATCAAACTGCTGTGTTTGCATTGGCTTTGCTAAGAGAGTGGCCACTTCAGATCTATGTAGGCTCCCACTTATCGTTAGATGCTATACATTTATTTTTTATATTCATTTATTTGGCATGGCTCTTGATAAAACTTTACGGAGCCGAAAGTCTTTGAAAACTATTCTAAATTGCATCACGAAAAAAAAATGCTGTAGAAAATTACTCATGGGGTATTTTCTCTTGAAAATTTGGGTAGAAGTAGTTTAGAGTGTATTTTTATCGCTGTCAGTTTTTTTTAAAGTTGGAAGAAATGGCGTCACCGGAAAAGCAACGTCGCGAATTGATTTTGCGCAAGCACCTGGAAAATCCTCAACTCAAAGTTTGAATAGGGGTTCCTGGGGTAAAATGCACCAGTTATGGAAATCAAGGTTTTTTCCCGTTAAAATTAAAAGCAACAATGAATATCATGCGTTGCATAAATTCTCAACATACATGAAAAGTTTAAAAAAATAAATTAAAAAGTAATTTTAGAAATTGATAAAATAATCTGGAAATGCCACTAATTGGGGCAAAATGCACCCATACTGGGGTAAAATACCGTACAACAAAAGGGCAAGCCATAATGATGACTTAAAATCCACCCCAACAATGCAATACAATAATGGGGCAATATGACTCTCTTTGCCGTCTGATCATGACTACTTGACGCAGAAGAACGTTCGACAGCCTCCAGTCGATCGTAGTTGATCAAAGGTCCATGACCGCTTAATAGACTTCGGAACGTTGCGGACCTTTCGGAAGAAAGAATAGCTTGTTTACTAAGGGATCTTTTCGTCCCAAACATAGGAGTGCATTTAGCCCCGAATGAACAAAGAAAATCTTTTTGATTATAAAATAGAAACACATATTAAAACCTACCGGTAAATTATCAGAGCGATGAAGCTCTGAATGTTGTAAGGTAGGGAACGAACATTCTAATTTTGATTGATTGGCCCAATGTCACCCCCACTTACGGTACTTAAATTTAAGTGGATGTACAGATGCTCCTTTGCTTCCATCTCAATACATCACTTCACCTTATTTTTTTTCTATTGACAGATCCAACAGCTGAAAGTTCATTGAGATCTTATTTAATTTAATAGTTACATGCATTGACCTGACCTCGAGAACCAGTTCGATGACATTTTTTTACAAACTTTGCTCATGTCAACTTTACGTCCCCCATGGGCTGGTCGGTGGGCGCGCTCCGATTGATTTAGTGCCCAATAATTAATTGGCTTATTTGCCTATTTTCAGCCTATGCCACACGATAGTGAAGTGAATAGTTATGACCCGTACTAGACGCGGCATGTTTGCAACCAACTAACTAATGCGCGTTTACCATCGCCACGAGAACCTTTAACGGTATTCGGTGGGTCGTATATTGTGTACCTATCTATACCGCCAGAGGCAGATCATTAAATTGGAGATTGTGTTTTTTTTGCCAGTTTACTGTTGACGAGATCATGAAGCCGTGTTGACGCCAGCATTTTTCCTATATTTTTTTACAGTAGCAAATCGGTATTGATTAGTCAGGTGTGTGCCAGAATTGTGCCCTCATCGCCAATCGCTTTTATGGAAGTCGTAAATTACTACCCCTCTTGGTCTGGTGAGCTTCAAGTTATGGAAATAAACAATCATTAGCAGCCTAGAGCATATGGCGATGTTGATGACGGTGCTCATAAGTTCCTCTCCGCCGGTGCCAGCTTCCCAAACTGTACCGCATGACAGGTATTTACGAAGCAAAATCGCTTGCAATTAGGGACTGAGCAATACTGACATTGTCAATCTTCATTTGTGTCCCGTGTGAGACATGAAGGTATTTTTATATTTAGCCGAATGTTTACTCAATCAGTGAGACTCTGTGCACTCCAGACAAACGTCAATAAACTTCGTTCAATTTTTTTTCCGTAGAAATCGAACCTCCTTGGAAAGTTGTCATCTTTTTCGTATTCATTTTTACGAATTGGGACACATAGGGTAGAGCACTACTTCGGCATAAACGCCCATTTCCGTCATATCGGGCAGAAACGTCAAATATATAAATGATTTCGACGTGAACGAACCAATCATACGTTTGGCACGATAGTTTAGTTCAAAAGGTACAATACAAAGTCTACAAGATCGCATAACATGAATATTTACATCAATTCTTCTCAAAACCAAAAAACGGCCTTAATCCGTATGCCAAAGTGAATCCAATGTCGTTTCAATGTGTTTAGACGGAATTGAAACTCATTTGATGGAATTGAAATCAAGAACGATTGTTAGATTTTTAGCAATATCTCAAAATGTTTGACTCTATATCAAATCCAACGGTACGTATGAAAGCTAAATAAAATGAGTAGTTATTTTTTATAGAAACATACCCATTTTGGATCAAGCCCGTTCGAAAAAATAAAGGTTCAGTGCGGGTTGCGCTTAGTACGACGGACATTAGATCTTAACCCTACCTAAATACTACACATAGGGCAAAGCACACCTGGCTGAATCTGCCCACGAGCCACGAGGACGATGCTCTGCGAAGGTAGACAGACAAAACAGTCAATCTGGGGAGACTTGTAAACGAAAACTTTACCTGAATACGAAATTAAGTTGTTTATTTTACCATGAAAAAGTTCTTTCAGGCAATTCAGTGTAGGCACATGGGAGATGGGTGTGTCTCTTATGGACTTAATATTG